TATATATATATATATATATGTCCTTCATCAGATTAACTCAACCCCTTGACCCTGTCACACAATCCTCAACTTTGCCCACAGATTACGACTCTTTTCTTCTCATTTCTGGAGCTTGGTCTGGATGACTGGTTCAGAGCCAATGATTGGCTGACGGAGGATTAAGTCTCCAGGTCATTGACGGGCAGCAGAGATCATGGTCTCTCTCTCTCTCTCCTGCTGCAGTGTTGCCTCAGTCATGGTTGTTGAGTTTAAAGTACGAGGATTTGTTGTTTTTTTTCAAGGGAAAGAAATGGTTATTTTTGTGTATTTGTCGCTTGTACAGATTTTGTAATTAAAAAAAAAAAAAAGAGATGTGACAAAATGATCCCATGAAGCCTTTTTATTGGGACAGGTCATGTTCAACAAGAGCAGACTGTCGCTAACGACAAATGACGCGTAAAGCAGTAGTGAAGAGATGGAAACAGAAGAGAAATAAATGAAGAGTGCAGTGATGTATAGGACTGTCAGAATAAACACGTTCGTTAAGATTAATTTGATAAACTTTTTTAACGCATGGGCAAAATATCGCTTGTTTTACTGTATATCCAATAATCACAGCGCCTGTCCATTTATCGTTACTCTTAGACAGAGTTGATACACGTTATGTCAACACAAAGCTTTTGTTTTCCTGATGCACTTCGACCAACTCGACACCCAGCATGCATTATTCAAGGCTAAAACTTCAGGTCAGATGTTCGGCAGTAACTGTAAATTTTTCTTGACATTTAAAGAAATATTTGCATCATTTGGATTTGGATATTGGATAAATCCAATAAAACAGGTGTAATACAAAATCATCCACCTGCTGTTAACTCACTGTTTTAGTTTGTCATATTTAGGAATGTTGAGCCCTGCTCTGCCCTTGACAGGTTAAATTAGTCAGGTACATTATCACAGGTCAGATTTAGTTTGTACAACATAAAGGGAAAAGCATAAGATCACAGCAGAAAACCTTCACATTTTAACTCTTCAGATCTACAGTGTGAAGGTAAGGCATCAGATCTGCAGCTCAGAACTAAGTCATCACAGGTGGCGCTGACTCTTTTTTTTTTTCTCTTCTCAGAGTGAAAACTAACGTCCAGGCATGCATTTATACACCAGGTAGTAAGTACTATTGCTATTGTACACATACGATACACACCTGTACAGGAAGAGAAAGATGGAGACGATGAAGAGTTGCTTCAAAATGGGTATGATTGACAATTTAAAAAAAGTTTCCTCATACAAGTGTTATTTCTGGTAAAAGTTCAATGATTTTTTTTTTTTGGTTTCTGAAACAAACAGAATTAACAATGTGTTCTTTTTACATTATGAACAGGGATGAATTAAGACAATGTGCAAATCTGATTCCATGCATGTTGTTGCATAATGAAGCTCAGAGTGACATGAAGAGGAAGCAGGGTTTCAAACCAGAAACTCTCAGCTCCGGTAAGTCAATCTGTACAATCTCCACATCAGTAAAAAGTCAAGCACGCACGCACATACCTGAACAAGGCAGATCCACACAACAGTCACACTGGGAACAGTGAACAAAAATTTTAAAATGTCTTTTTAAGTTATCCTGATGCGGGATAATTTAAAAATGGACATGAGAAACACGTTGAATTGTTTTTACTGTCACCTACTGTAGATTTAAAAACATTTCATCCATACACAGCACCATGAGTACATGTTCTTAGTCTCTCAAATTTATCATGAATTCATAATACTGCTAAGATACACACATAAAAACAACAACAAAAACACCTGATGATAAACAAGCTCTGAGGAAACTGCAGACAGTGGTTCACACTAAATCGGACAGTGAACAGAAACAAAACTGTTAAACTTTTTGTGGCAATTAGTAATTATATATATAGTTGTATAAAACAATGCATTATTATTGAAATGTAATATTAAGTAACAAAAATCTGATGAAATTTTGAAAAATTATTAGATTGAAGTTCTAAATTCTTCATTCACTGTCATATTTATACACATTCAAATGGACCACCAATCAAATATTTATATATGTATATATATGTGTGTGTAAATGTAGGAATTTATATATTTACTTATGAGTGGTGTCCCATATGAGTTTTCTGCCACTGCAGCAAAAACATCTCAATTGGTTTGTTTTGTTCAACTTTTCTTTAGATTCCAAATTACCAAACAACAGAATTCATTTAGAAAAAACAGACGTGTGTAAAGACCTTAGTCTCAAATTATACTCTTCTGGTTAAAACAGCAGGAGATGATGTCTGACTTCTGATCAATGTACAACATTTTTAATATTACTTTAATATTTTTTTTAACAATAACTTGATTCAGTGACGAGAGTGAAAGAATCTGTTAGATTTTCTCACTCTCATACATTCTAAATGAATGCTCAGGACGTAAAAAAAAAATCAGAAATGTGTTAAACCATGAACCACTGCTGCAGCCTCCTCAGTAACAGACACTAAAGGATTATTCCACTGCACCCACACAAAATCAGAGTGAAATTATTTATAATAGCTTAAAAAAAACAAACAATACAGATAATGTTTGGAACAAACACTGTAAAGGAACAGGACGTCTCCAGATGCCAGTTAAGACACTTTCCAAAAGCCAACACCAGCGAGGAGGAGCATAAATGTAGGTGAACGATGTAACAAGTGCAATGCGATGCAATGAGGTCCATGTGCAAATTTCAGCGTGTCGTCATAACAGCCGAGATGAAAGGTGTCTTTGGACGATGGTAGATTACAGATGAGGGAAAACACCAGCGTTTGTCACCGCTGCAATTTTGATTCATTTTATCTTCACACATTAATTAAAAGGCAACCATAAAGCACACCAATAAATAAAAGGACTTGGCATTTAAAACATGACTGCAGTATCATAAATACTGCATCCCAGTATCTTAGTAAATATCTACACAGAGTTGTAGGTGAAGTTAAAAAAAAAAAAGTTTCAAAAGGAAACAGTCTCCTGTAACTGGATGGTGAGACACCACACTAAGGCATCGATGTTTACAAATGGATGAAAAGTAGACAGGAAATAAATACACAACTTTCCCTTTGACATAATAATTGCAGGGCTTTCAGCTTCTGGCTGATGAAAGAGAAAGATGTTGGTGGTGGTGTTGAATGTGGGTGGACGTGGGTAAGAAAACGTAGAGGCTGAATGGAATCCGGAAAACATCTAACTCCAACTCAGCCTCTTTGCTCCTCATTCTCTTCTTACTCCTCTGCAGGCTGGGCAGTGTCTGTGCTCCGATCGGCTCCAAAAGTAGACCAGAGACTTTTTTTAATGTTGGAGCCTTAGAGGTCAGAAGAGAAGGGAGGAAGAAGCCGTTGGAGTGGGCTTAAACTTGTAAGGATGAGCAGTTTGATGATGAGTTCTGACCCTGTGCCACCGATACCAGCACAACCAAGGAGGCCTGGCGTTCTCCTGACCTGTCAACCTGGCCAAAGCAGATGGATGGACAGTGGGACTGATCAGGGTGAGGAGGAGGCAGCTGCGTGGTGTTTGACGAAGGCGATGGCTGCCAGCTCTTTGCAGAACTCCTCCAATACGATCACTCCCTCCAGCAGAGTCGTGTGGTCGATGCTGAGGGAAAAAACCAGGACCATTTCTGCAAAAGTGAACACATTGAGGAGAAATGCAACCAAGTGTGAAGTCCTTACGTGATGCCCTCGGGTTCCAGGCCCAGTAACCTCTTCCTCACAAGCAGCAGTTTGGGTGTGAAGTCTGGGATGCGATGAATCCTCAGCATCAGATCTCCCACCACCTGACACATGCAGCATCAGAACACACAGTAAACACACAGTAACTGTTTAATTTTACAAAAACAAGACAAGTCACCAGTCACTTGCTTGGTAGCTAAGAGGCAACATCTCTCTCTTTCTCACACACACACACTATTGTGCCTTGTTTTGTTGTTGTTAATCATTATTTATGTATCAACTACTATCATAAAAGACAGTATTGTGTTAATTAATTTAATTATTTTTGTAAACTGTTTCTGTGTTGTTGTAATCATTTTGCAAAGAACTCCTAGAACTGTTCTGATTGTTTACAGTATGAATACTATTCATTGTAGAATATATATAATATGGTAAGTAATACATTATTACTATAATAGTAGTAGAACATAACATTAAGATAATTTTAACAAGTCTGATTTTTGTTATTGATTTATGAGATCAATAAAATCAAGTGCACCTACACAGCACTTTAACCAATCGCACCTACTGAGCTAATTTATTCTATTAACATTTTTTTGAGCAATGAAAAAAAAAGATCCCATCATTTTTATACGCAAACCAGTTTTTTTCATTAATATGAACTTAGACAATTCAAATCTGGCGTTGACCCTTTTTTTTTTTTTTAGCTACTGATGTCATGTATCCTGCAGCCGTCGTTACTCACAAACAAGGAGGTGTTCTATTTGTTGTAAGGCAATTCAAGTAGCAGCATGTTTAATTATTAAGACTGAGTTTAGAGAAGCACAGCCTTGAAAATGGCAGCAGTTGATTGAATTATCACTTTGTTTTGCTGCAGCAAACATTTAACAACACTCAACCTTTTTATGGTATTAAATTATTAGGGTAAAGTTACCAGGATATTTAAAAAAAGAAAAGTAAACAAACAGAATTCTTACCCTGACAATGACAGAGAAGAGAGATCTGCAGCCTGGAGCCAAGCTGATATAAGGATCCAGCAGATACTCATGTAAGTGAGGGTGTGGTAATAAGGACAGTTTGGACAGGACCGCGGTCACCTGCAGGTTCACATCGTAAGGCTGGGAGAAGAGATTAGAGTATAAACGTTAGGCTGAGGAATCCAAATAATCAACACCAAGTACTGTTGTTGTATTAAGAAAATGAAAAGATATATTTTAATTTCCCAAAAGGCCCAAGAACATTAATTAGGTCTAAAATAAACATGTTCTTTAAAAAAAATACATTTTATATATATATATATTTTTTCTTTTCTGCTTTTGTTCTGAACATTGTTTAGTGTTGTCATTGTTTTTACCAACCTGGTCTAGGATGCGACCCATTCGGTCAAAGAGAACCTTCAGGAAGTGGCCTTCAAAGAACGGGACGTCAAGGTTACACTTCTCAAAAGGCTTTGGATTTCCACGCCAGTCCCACCGTTGGCAAACACCACAAAAGTCCCTGAACTATGATGGACAATTCCAAAAAAAAAAAAGAATGAGTGAGTCAGTCTGTCTATGGCAGACAGTATATTTACTGTGGGGACTGAGGGACTGTGGCATCGGGTCTAAATTTCTGTGCGATTAAAAATATTGGGATATTTTATTTTGTAGCAAAAAATGAGCTATTTAATGTGGGTATTTTCTTTATCTGTGCCAGAGTGAGGAAATTCACCTGATTTGTAATTGTAATTCCTTTGCTTGGTGAGGACAGTAATTTTACAGTGTTTTTCCAATAGCATCAGCTAAGTTTTGAAGAAATACCTGGGAATGGTGTCAACTTGTAGTTACAGCAGCAGTTTCGCAACTCACCTGTCTGTGTGCGTCTCTGAGGTAGGTGTCATAGCCGGTGCCCTCAACCTGATAGGAAGACTTGGCTTCATCGGGGACCAAACACAAGAAACTGGAGGCAATTATAAATGTTACAGTTAGAACATTAACATGTAAAGCAACAGCTACTCTAACTGTCAAAGTATACGGCGTACTACATGTTTAAGTTTACCTGTTGACAATCTTGTGAACTTCTGTTTTCCCATCGGGCTTTGAGTGCTCAGGACTTTGAGGAGGTGAGGAGCTGAGCCAATCAGAACCAGACAGCCTGCTGTCTGGAGAGAGGTCGTCACCAAAGAGAGGATCCTCTTCCAGGTCACTACAGGACACAAACATCCCTGTGAGTTTTTCTCTAAAAATATGATCAACAAACTGGTCATAATATAACTGTTGCATTTTGAACAGAGCTATATTGATGGTGGTTGATGACATCACGTGTGACCTGTTACTAACCTGATAACTTGTTGGACATGGTTGATGACATCACGTGTGACCTGTTGATAACTTGTTGGACTAAAAGATAAGTGTGACTTTACTAAAAATATATTAGAGATGCATCAATGTAGGTAGAAGTGTGATTCTCAATAATTACACAAATAGATTTTTGTTGATTGTTGTTGTTTTCATTACATTAGGACAAGAACAAAATATTTTATTACTATTATTGCATGATCTCTCTCCAGTACAATTTTTAATTACTAACTTTAGATTTTCATAAAAAAACTGTGAAACTGCAGTACATCTGGTAAAAAAACACCACAATTTGATGCATTCCTTTTATTTCTTTCCAATTGTGTTTGTGCAAAAGTGCATGTGTAGTGCTGACAGGGAGAACAAAGATCAGATGCGTGGACCCTTACACGGCATCATGGGGCTGGCCGTTCTCCAGAGGCTCTCGCTCTTCCTGTGGTTTGTTCTCCAGATAGTTCCTCTCCTCCAGATTCCGGAGCACCATGCTGTGGAGGATGTGCTGGTTGGGCTTCTGGATCAGCTGCTCAAACAACCGCAGCGTCATGATGCTGATCTGGAGACAGGAAGCACACAGGTAGTTTTGTTACCGTTTGATTTAATACCTATTATTAATTAACATTGATTTTGCCAGTGTTTATCTTAAAGACAGGAATGTATGATTTAGTGGGGCAGAAATGCCCCAATTAAAATTCACCATGATTCAGTTCACTACAATAAAGAATCTTTGAGGGGCAGATAGCTATGGACGATATTATTGACACTGATATCAATGAGAAAAAGATGTACAAATAAAATGTACTCTTCCAACAGACATAAATAAAAAAAAGGTAAGAACCTCATCTGATAGGTGATCACAGTGCTCAATAAGTCTGTGCCTCAGTGGATTCTTAGCAACAGTCCCAGGACTCTCTGGATCCCTCTCCTCTCCCAGCAAGAAATAAACCATTTCCTGCAGCAGAACCTCTGATGTCACCTGCCTGATAATCCTGTTGAGCAGCGCTGTGGAAGTCAGAATGCCCACCTCTGAACTGTGCACAACACAAACACACCAACATGAGCATCACGGGCAAAGGCACCCAAAAGAAGGATAGCATGAAGACTATGAACAGAAAACAAAAAAGAATCAGGTGCTTACGTCTGCATCAGTTGTGGCTCCATCACAGACACAAAGAATCTTTCCCTCACTGCTTTTGCCATCACTGTAGCCGCTGACTGTGATAGAGAAAAAAAGTCTGTTCATTTTTCTTTGATCGACACGTCAATTAAAAAAAAAAATGAAACGAGCAGTCAGACAACAATGGTGGAAATGTCAAAAGGACCTTATGAGCCTCCTTGATGAGTTGATCACAGTAATCCAACCAGGACAGAAATGAGATGAGAGCCCTCTTCCCCGTGAAAACAGCAGCATCCTCTTTCAAGTTATATACATCCAGGCTGGAAAGAGAGCAAAACATGCAAAGTTTAATTGAATATTCATTATAGAAACATAGATCAAAATTTCAGTTGATGAAAAGTAACTCCCAATATAAATATATATATACCCCCAATTGACAGACTCCACTGTTTCAATGTCCAAAGGATCTATAGACTGTGGCAGGGCTTTGTAGAAGGAAACCAGTTTTCCTGTAAGAAGCTCACAGAGCTCAGTGTTTTCTGTTAAACACTTGGCAGCAGCAGGCTCTGGTAAACTGACCAGCAGCATCAGGCCTTCACATGCTTTCACAACTATCCTGCCATCCTAGAAAAAGATTGAAAAAATATATATAGGTTAAGTATAACATCTTTAACTGACAACAAAGAAAAGAAAATTATTCATGTAAACCAAAGGTTACTTACAGGGCTCTTTGTGAGATTGAGGAGAGAAGTGACAAGATTGTAATTGCTGCTGTTACTGCTGGCTGGACTTGATGTGGAAGCAGCAGCATTCTGTGGCTCCTCTGGGGAGCCAGCTTGACTCTCTGCCCCAGACTGACCAGTGTCTGGCGCTTTGACCTGCTCTGCTCTTTCAGGACTCTTCGTGTCAGATTTTCTTGATTTGTTCTTCAAATAGAATAATAAAATAAAATGTTTCTGATCTGCAGTACATGATAAAATGTAACAAATCTGTAGTTTGTGTTACATTAACTAACCTCAAGGAAAAAGTTCACAAGATATGGGTCCTGCTTCAATTTGGCACAGACTATACAAAGGAACTGAATCTCTTCATTTTCTGTAGGAGCAGCCAGCACCTCCCCACACAGACGCACCAGTTTCTGACAGCAGCCGCAGGAAAAAAATAGTCACAACTTACGTAAGCTGTCAGTTAATGGAACAAGTTAAGATAAAGGACATTTAAAAACTATGTGAAAAGACTGCAGCATCTTACTTGTACAGGCCTGTGGACATTAATGTGAGGCAGGAGAGGCTGTCGAATGTGCGCTAAAAGCTTTGTGTAGAAGGTCAGCACCTGCTGCTTCATCCCTGGTGGACACTGATCAGGGAAAAAGAAAAAGAAAAATCACAAAAACAAAAACTACTATTTAAAACAATCTACAACATTAACTCTATCTGTTCGTGTGGGAAAAGCATACATCAAGACAAACATGTATTTGAAGCAATATACTCAGGATAGTCTTGTATGTTTGTGCACAAAAATAGAAATAAAACTGACTTACATCAGCTTTGCCTAAAGTGTAGAGCGTCTCCAAAATCTTGTGATGTAAGAGATACTCCATGCAGGGTCCAGTCTCTCCAGTCTCCCTTTCTGTTTCTTCCTGGGTCAAAATGTCCAGCATCTGTTCCAGGTGGGATGGGATGTTTGTGTCTGTGACTGGAGCTTTGTCATCTAACAAAAACACGACATTTTGAAATTACAGCCAATAAAAATGTCTAATATTGGCAGTAAATATTTTCATAGACAAAAAGATACTCCACTGACTAGAGATTACTATAAATTTTTATCTTAAATTATCTTTTAAATATCTTTTATTTTAAATTTCCTGAAGTACAATATCACACCAATAGTGCATAGTTAACTCAGCTGACAGTTGTGCACTTAGTGCTTCTAAGCACTTCACATTAAGCTACCGAAACAAACAATAGTCCCAAAGATTGTTTTCACTTAAGTGGGAGCATTAATCAGCTTAGTTATGTAATAAGAGTACAGACAAACTCCCATTGCTTAGAAAGTAAAAGCATTTTGCTGACCAACAGGTTTCACTGGATTTCTACATGGTCCTTACAAAAAAAATACAAACCTTAGACATAGATTAGCAAACGTGATGATGGACAACATAGGTACTATTGTCTAAATAGAGCTGTCAAATTTCCCTGCTAACTTGACTAGCGCAGCATTCCCTGCATTCCTTACATTAATGAAATGTGTTTTTCCTGAGGCAACTTCTGAAAAGTCATTAGATTCTTGTATTATTATCTAAGAATGTGGAGTATGAACAGACTATAAAATAAAGGTCTGAATGAATTATAACCATCGCTAACAACCTACTGAAAGGTTGTTAGCTTATTCTCGCTGTCATTTCTTACCAGACGTCTCAATGTAATAGTGGGTAATAGCCTTCCAGTGATAGACAAAGTCCTCCTGCAGGGGCAGCGACGGAGCAAGCTAAAAAACATGAATTACAAACAAAATCATGTGGCTGTGTTGACCATGATGTATTTACATATATATAACGTCAAGTTGTACATCTTGAAGTTATACGACTTTAAGGGTATTAGCTGAGACGTTCAGCAGCAAGTCAGGGCTAGAGTTCGATTAAGCTAAAAATTGTACTAAAACTTTTCTATAATTGTTAAAAATCATAGTTATGACTTGAAGTTTCTATGCTATATTCGGTAAGTCGCAAAAAAAAAAACAAAAAGGAAAATGAGAGTTTTCCCGTAACACACCTGCCATAGGTCTATTGTTAAAGCCTGTAACATTAAACAGAGCAGGTTTTTCGTTGTTTCTCACAAGTTAGCACGCTACCTAACAACAATGTTTGGTTTTCTAAACAGCAATGGAGCTTTAACAATACACGCAAGGTAAATATATATATATATATATAAAAAAAAAAAAAAAAAAAAACTGGCATGTTTGCGCAACAAGAGTATGAGTCGACGTATTATTTCGACATCACTTTCCATGATAGGACCCCGGTATGGTTACAGCTAACTAGCTGCTTTAGCACGGTTCGAGCCAAGGTCCTAGGCTAACTAGCGTAGCTTCTGGAGCCACGTTTAACACAGCTGGCATGTTGAAACGAACTTGACGTTAAAATGTAAATACGTTATACAGCGGTACGATAACAACTGAACACACGTAATTGGGGTTCTTCAAACACAAGGGGATATATTAAAACGGCGGACAACTAAATCTCAAAGCGCTAACTTTAGCTTTTTAGTTAGCATCGTTTCCGAAGGTTCAGACATACAATACAGACGTTTAAAAATAGGAAGCCACAATATTGAATCAAGCTGTTTTGGAAAAATAACTTACCGCTTCTACCGCATGCTGTAGAATTGACGTGAATTTGGAGAACATTTTGTTCTTCGACTGGACAAGTTTCTCTCGAGAAGACCTAGAGAATTCCTCTATCTTCTTCTTCCTGTTATTGCCGCCGCGATCCAGATTGGAGGTTTCATGCAACGACACTTATAACAAGAGAACAAACGTCAACAATTAACCTTAATACAACGCTACTTCTATTGACTCTAATTGGACGTCAGACTACATAGGCCCTGGCGCTGCCACTGTAAACAAGGCGTTACAGCCAGTAACCAAGGTACGTTCTACTTTGGACACGGTGGCACTTCCTCCGCCAAACGATACCTGTGTAGACCAGCAGGGGCCGCAGGGACACAGGACAAGGGCTGTGTTATAATTACTGACGACGACCGTTGCATACAAATTGAAACAGCCAGCGATACACCAAACACTGGGAAGGACGTTGATCAATGTTTTTAAAACGTGAATCAATAACCCCACTTCAAAATTTAAATCAAAATATCCGATCCCAATAATACAATGGAATTGAAATGTGCATGGAAACCCACGTGAGTTGAAAAAAATAACGGATAACCCCTTATACGGTTGAACCGAAGTGAATATAAATTGCAGCGCGTAGATGGAGGTTGCGGCTTTAATTGTTTTATATTTAAACGTATAAGCAAAATGGATATTATGGTTAAAGTGTTACAGACAAAAGACCATATATTGTCCCAGGCAGACTGGGCGCTGGACAACTTTAAAATGGCTTAAGTAGCAGAGTACAGAACAGCTCAGTCATCCCAGGCAAACCATACAAGACATTTGGTTCATATAAAACAACTAGATGCGTTTTAACTTAAATATTTCTATTCATGTGACCTTATGTACAAATATGGACAATAATGAACTTGAGGGAAAAAGCAGGAAGGATGCTGTCTGTTCCAGGACACGCCCTGTCGGTGGAGCGCGCTCACTCCATCGGGCAGTCCGGTCTAGTCTTCCTAATTTTCCAAATCGTATGGCTCTCTTCCCCTCTATCCCCGCTAGACATTTTAAAACAAAAACTCAGAGCACAAATTGGGCCACAACGTAGTTCCCACTTCCCCCAACTATACAGAAGAATTCTCCTCCTGATCTGTTAAAGAAAGAAGAGAGAGACTCTACCTACCGGGCATGTCTGCTAGAGGTGAGTATCTTTGCCGCAGAATCCTTAATAACAGAACATATAGAGTATATAGTGGAAAATACAGTATGTCTTTGTGTCTGTGTGTGTGTTTGTCTCTGTGTTTGTGCGTGTGCTTGAGTGCGTGCGTGTGTGCGTGCGTGTGTTCTGTTGACTGTGGATGCAATAGCGAGGATGCGAGTCCATTCGCTCCTCTTTTGTGAGGCAGTATTAATAATGCTAATGACGGTTATTCTAAGTAGGTTAGCCCAGTGCAGGGATGACACCACAGCTGCAGCCCTCTGTGGACAGTCTACAGCCTACAAGTTGTTGTGTTGAGGTGTATTCTGGAGCATGCAGGCTATAAATAGGTCAGACTTTATTGAAACAACCAGCAGTGATAACCACTGCCCTTGACATTTGACCCTTTAGTTAAAGATGGTGCATATTTCTGTGCAGTAGCTGATGGAGTTGTGTGAACTCACATTGTGAAATGATGAAGTATAATGATGTTATATTTGAAGGTTTTTCAAACTCTAAAAATAAAAAAAAGTCAATTCTGACCAAACATCAGATTTTAACTAAACTTCATTGGAAGCTTTGAAACTTACTATTTTGAGGTTCAATTTCTTTTTCAAAATTTTAATTAAATCAATGCAAATGATTTATTGTTTTCTTTCTTGTTTTAACAAACAGATCTGAAGACAGAGTTATACACAGAAGAAACATGCTGTTTAATTTTGAGTAAATGAATCCTAGATATTTAAGAGAAAAATTAATAATCTGAACTGTGTTCACCTGGAGAACATTAAACACAAACATCAAGTACCACAAACTGGTGGTCTTGTTGTATGGCAAGGGCATTCATTGCTCATCTTTTGTGGTTCCCTCCTACTTAATCTGTTTGGTAGAATCTTCTCTTGAATAATCTATAGACACAAAAAGTAGTTCATGGTCTGAACATAAGCAATTTTGTAGACTTTGAGTAGAATAGGCAACAAAGCCTAATGGGAAGTGGGCCACATGAGTGGGCATTGTGTGTGATTGACAGCTGAAATCTCTTATACCTATTAATGTCAGTCAGTATTTAGTTTCAAAACCATCACGGCACCTCTTTAAGTTGTAAATCTCAAGGCCTAAAACAGAACTCCTTATTGAAACTTTATATTTAATTTGGTCTGTTGGTAGACCACAGTGGTCCAAAGCCGCTGGGCTTTTACTGTCCTGTAGTTGCAATTCTCACAGACACAAGAGATAATCTCTTGTTACTGCTGCTGGCTTAGATCAGGTTGTCTCATTGACTGACAGGGATCTGGATATAAATAGAGGTGTTACAATTTTAACCTTAAGCTTACTTTTCTTAAATCATCGGCTCCTTCAGCAGTTACTTCACGCCATTGTCCAGAAGGATACGTCATTGTAGCTTGGGTCGCTATAGTCTGTATAGGAGGATGGCTTTGAACCCTGTCAACTGATGTTGCCTATTCTATATGTTCAAATGGTGGTGAAAAGATCGATGGAGTTCAGAGCCCATGCACCACGTGACAGCTCCCCCGTGGTACAAGGATCTGATTAGTACGCATAAACCCCCCGGAAAAGGTCCATCAATATTCATGAGAATTAGCTACACTGGACACTACACTTTTGACATAGTGAAGTGTCGATTATTTGAGCTATTTAGACAAATGTCAGCCTATTTTATATCAACACAGATCATTCAGGAAATAGTAATAATCATTTTATGGCACCAGGTGACACGTGTGAGACAAATGAGCTGGGAATCACAGCAGGGCAAATGTGTAAACAATTCTGAATATAATTTTTAACTATTCAAAATTATTTCCACACTGCTACCACTGTATTTTAGCAACTCATGTTGCTAAACAAGCTCATGTGATCGATAACTTCATTTACAGAGTATTTTCACAGTCAAGCCAAGAATGTGTAATGATTTGCTGCTTGTTTATATCTTGTGACTTTTTAAGCGTTTGATCTGTCCTCCCTTGCCTTGAACTCTTGTTCTATGCAAATCATTACAGTAATGTTAATGAACAATCTGTGGAAAAACATTCAGAAAAATAACTGGGTAACACCCATAATAATATTTTGACCAAAAATCCTTTTTGTTTAAAATGTATTTCTAATGACTCGCTCTCATACTACTTTTTTTTTTTTTTTTGACGAGCATTAGCCATTACTGCACTCTGAGTCCAGCAGTTACATCTGGCCTCCACCCTCCCAGACCTCTTATCAACAGAGCCATCAGCTTTTACCTTGGTAGCATGTCCTTCCATCATCATCCATCGTCATCCCCACCTTATAATACACCCATGTGGGCTCACAACTCTATCTGAACCTTTTAGTGTCATCATTGTTCCAGTGATATTTTCCTTAGTCTAGAATCTCCTTTTGTGTGATTGTAAAGAAATTGTTACCAACCTTTGGATGTTGACGTGTTTTAGCTGAGCAGTTAAAAAACTTTTTTTTTTTTAAACATAGAGTAGTGATGGAAATGATGGATGTTAAAAGCAATTTAACAAGGGAGTTAAGTGCAGTTCAAGGTCTGTCTGTGGTTGTTGGATGGGTTTTGACTACTTCCTCCTTTTGCTACTTAGTGATCCTGCATGTTGTCTTTACCTGATGGTTTTTAAATTGTTTTATAAAGCTGTGGCTGTGAATTTTATTTTTCACCTTGGCCTGCTTAGTTAATAGTCTCTGTTTATGATGCCAACCGAGTTTGCAAGTCACAGATTAATTCAATGTAATACTGTTATAATTAAGTGTAACATAATATGATCATAATACATGTAATAATATAATAATATATGTCCAATAAATTAAAGTTCTTTAAAACATAGTTTCCTATTGAAATGCCACAGAAGCCCACTTAAGATTTTACACTGACATATGCAGTCAAGTATTGAAGTGTGGAGTTATAGCAACATTTCCACAGATTTCAGGTCATAGAGCCTGTAGATTTTGTAATGTAACCTTCCCTCTTTTGGTTGGCCTTGTCACCAATAGTATCTTAATGTCTTAACAGACATTATTAGGGACATATGCTGTCTGGAAAACTTTGAGCAGAGCAAGTTTTATTCCTACCACCATCCATGAGTCCTTCCTTTTCCCTGAATAAGGTAAATGCCTCCCGAGCAGTGGCCACTGTACCTGTTACACTGCAGTGTAATGTAGACAATCAGTGGTTGGTGAAAAAAGAGGCACAGCTCTATTCTGCAGTAACCCAATCTGAATCCTCCTCCTTTACCGACCAGAAGGCAGCTCATGCTCCAGCAGCTCAATCGTCTGCATCAGCACTTTTCTCTGTGTCTGTGTGTTTGCTGTATGTCCTGTAGAAGGTTTGCTGTGCATGCGCATTCCATGTGTCCTAGCAAAAGGCTAAATAATTGATGAGCTTGAGAAGAAGTAAAAGTGCAGCCGGACAGGAGGACGGTGTGTGTGGGAGTGTGTAGAGATGGAAGAGAGGAATACGTCGAAGCAGCAGCCTGGCTACGACGGGCTCTGCAACTACGCCCAGAAAATCACCTCCTGCTTCGGTTTAGATGGTAAGATGGGGAATCATAAAAAAGCACCGGGGGATGTTGTCATTCTTGTGTGGAGCCTGTGCTTGCAGAAGCAAACATTTGATCTTTTTTTTTATGTGATGTTGATTTGTGCCTGTGCAGCAGTCTTGTTCTGTGCATGTGTGGGTCGGTTTGTGTGGAATGCATGATTAGTTGTGTCAAAGCGAGTACAGCGTGTATGATATTTAGAGGGCAGTGGCTCAGTGCAGCAGAGTAGCCTCATGTCCTCAAGTAATCTGTGCTCCATGTGTCTGAATGTACTAGTGCTGGTTGATCGTCTTTTAGCTCGGTCTATACCTGTCACACCTTAAAGCTTCGGACTTGAAATGTTCTTGTAAGGAAGCCAAAGCACTAAAGTATTGATGTAAATATTCAGCAAAGCCACAGCCTCGGCTAGTTGTCTTCACACATTGTGAGATAAGGAAGACTCTTAAATGTAGGCCAAGCTTGGAAACTACAGACACAGAAGTTGTTGTTTTTTTCTGTTTTTGTTTTTGTTTTTGTTTTGTTTTTTTTAGCTGTGTCATGATCTGTCTTGTGGTAAACTATCAATCAAAATTGGTAAAAGAAAAAAAAATGTAGCTACCTCTGACTAGTCTTGTCAGTCACATGTCATGGAAGAAATTTTAGTCATCAATCATGAAGACACTATCACTGCATTTCTGTTTTGAAAATTGATTTAACAAATCTTTGTTTATGGTGGTTTTTCAAAACCACATCAGCGTGTGGGCTTATGTTGTTCCTTAGCGTGCTCTCTCACCCCCTCCCTTGCTGCTCACCTCACATTGAACCCTAATTTCCAATGGCGGCGAGTACCTCATTGATCCAAGAATGAGTGCATGATGTTAAAAATTTAATCACTTCATGTCGTTTGTATGGATTTTGCTTTGTTGAGGAGATGGATGTGTGTGGACCATCCAATCCTTCCTGGGTTCAGATTCTTATATCGAATAAGAAAGATAACAGGGGGTTATGGCTGAGGTTTCCCCCCCGCAGCTGAGGTAGTTTCAGTATATTTTATTCTTAAGCATGATGCTAATGATTAACAGTGGGATAGTGCACATTTGGCAGCACGGATGACTTTGCAGGTACTGACCTTCCAAATGGCTGGCAGAGTTTCAGTTGCAATTTACCCTGAGAGTCTCGGATCACATTCATGCTGTACATAGATATGTTTCCAAATGTCAGGAAATTTCACATATAATGAATTTTTATTTGCAGACATTTTCATATTTGTGCAGAAAGTTGAGTCCCTATGTATTATTGTCATTGTATAAAAATAATTTCTGTTTTTGTTTTTCAAAACTGACGTTGACACAGATGATTCCCATAGAGACACCGTAGATATTGGAAATGATCACTATGTGATGGGTCAACCTGATGTGTCTCCACCTGACCGCACCCAGAAGTTAATCATAGGCTCAACGTCAGCCCTAAGCTGCTTAAAGCACCAGTCTGGTTGAGCAGAAGACACTCAAAGTGTAAGCTTCTTTACATCTCATTCTCATAAACCAGCAACACAGTGTGTTTAACCTTTACTGTTCGCTTTTTGATGCTTTCACCTCAAGTGGAGTTGGACAGCTCCTCAACTCTGAGGCTAAAGGTGCAGGAACTTAGTCGGGGGTTAGGTTTTTGCTGAAGGCATCTTTGTCGTAATTTAACAATGTCCTACTCTGCAGTTGCACATCAAGCTCCAGTTCTTTTTTTCCCTCTGATTTGTGCCTCTATCTACGCACCTCATTCTTGACGTCCTACAAGGAGTGGATTTTAAGGAAGGTCCAAGTCGGCTCCTGGTCAACACCTACTGGCTTTGCTACACCCTCCTCTGTGGGAACATCAAAAAGGAGCAGACCACCATGCCGACTCTGCCTAATCTTAACAGCCTGGGGAAGTTTTGCAGCTTCAGGCACAGTCAGAATGTTGACCGCGTGCAAGTGAAACGAAAGAATTCAGTCAAGAGAATGTCCATCATTGAGGATGGGCAGGTGGCTGAGGTCCTGTACCTCATACCAAAACAGTACTTGGATCAGCTGCCCTCCCTCAACCCTGATGACTATTATCTAAGTGAGAAGCTGACTGAACTATCTTCAGGTAGGACCAAATCAAAGATGTTATTTCTGTGACCGAGTTCAATTCATGTTTCAGTGCTATTTTAATAGTTTTTTACAACTACATTGTAATTTGACATTTAATCAAGCCTTTTGCAGTAATTATCAAAAAAGTTGCTGCGTACATGTGAGTAAATTAGTTGTTGCAAAGAAACGTTTCATCCAATGAAATGCATGGCAATTAATGTTTAAAGTTAAAGTCACACAACAGAAAATTTCAATTTAGTTCCTGTGTCAGACCTGAAATGTGCCAAAGTACTTTAAAAAGTAAATACAAAGGCAGTAAGACTGCATTTTTAGCAAAATACACAAGGATGTGTGTACAACGTACTAGTGTGCATACAAGGACACAAAGACAAGATGAGATAGCTCTACTTCGAGTACCATGCATTTGGAAAAACCACAACTGTGTTTCTACACAAAGGTTTTTCCAGCTCCCACCCAAACCTAAACAACTATATTGCTGCTGAACACCAACATTTTATTTCCACATCACTCTTTTCACTGGTCTGTCACTGTAGGTTCAATAATCTTAATTCAATTCACATACACATTAATTTCTGTGGAGAGATTATGGCTGTGCATAAACAGTCACCTGGTCAGGTTATTAATGGATAGTCAGGCACACACCATCCATAGGTGAGCCAAGTACAGCAGAAGGCTTTCAACCATGGATAATAGGCTTTGTGAGTCAAAAATTGCTCTTGGCAAACCTTGTACTGTTGCATCACTGTCCAGCAGCTCCCACAGAGGCTATTAACCACGGCTAGGTGACAGTAGGTCTGTTCAACATACATTTGCATTTCAGTCATACATTGTAATACTTTGCTTTTTCAGTGCACTGTAAGGTACTCCCGCCATTAGAAGAAAAAAACTAGTTTTCTCCCATCAACACTCATATATTCCTCTCTACTTTATGAAAAAAGGGTGGAGTGCAGGGCAAACTATTTTTACCGTAAGCCTCACTGGCGTGTCTCCATCAGGAGAAAACGCCCCTGTGGATACTGGTGCACGGTGGTGGGCTTCCAGCAGGTGGCACAGTTGACACTGCTGAGGCCATGAATGCCTTGTGAATGCATACTAGGCGGCACTGCATCAGCAAATACACAGGTGGTGCTGATGCAAAACAATTCTCTCCCGTTTAGCACAGGACACGTGTATTAGTGTCTGTGTAGTGATGAATATATGCTGATGTCCCTGGCTTATGTACCTGGGTGATGCTAGTGGATATAATTAGATCTTAAAAGGACAGTATGACCTTCTTTAGCTCGATATATGGACAATATATATTAGTGCATATAAGACCATTCAGCCTGTAGACCAACACAAAGGAAATGTATGTTTTGCCAATGTATATGCAAAGTTTTTTTTTCTTTTCTTTCCTTCAAACTTTTCTTCAGAGACAGTGTAATCATTAAGTCTCCATTGCACGATTGACAATAAATGTCAACCATTCAAAAAGGCCATTTCCGTGACAAATGATATAAGAGCTGGTGTGTTCAACAGGAATGTGCTTTCCCGTGCTCCAAGTAATTGGATTCCAGGGGATCCACTGGAGATAATAAAACAAAGCACACGCTAGAAGTAGCGCGATTATTAGCAACTTAGGCTGTCACTCAAGGTGAACCTTGTTTTCCTACACGGTGATGACCACAGTGTTGATTAAGCCTTTTGTTTCTCATTCATCAAAACAATACTTGAAGTTCTGAGTGGGCATTTTATAATAGCAGCCTTTTATGATCTTTGATTATGCTTTTAAATTTTTAATTAGTACAATTAATTGATTAATTTTGCTGCTAGACACAGGGCCATTTATTGCGGCGAAAAGACTGACTTTAAAAGGTTGAGGGTGAGGCTTGTGCAACATTTTTCTTTTTTTCTAAAATCTTTTGAATCCAGGTCTCAAAAAGAGTATTTACCTTCTCTTAGGTCCATTCTCAGGGACTATATGTTGAGTCTGTGGGTCAAAAAGTTCAGAGAAAGAGTAGTTTTATCACATTCAATCAAACATAACATCTCCTGATAGAACCCTGTGAGTCAAAGTTAGTCCAAGTCTGTCCTGGATACTAGAGATATCACTGATGTGTGTGGCAGTTCACCTCTGACCTCTGTGACATCAAAATGTAATTTACAAACTTTTTTAGTAGCTAAACCATAGACTAGAGAAATGCATTACATCATCATTGAAAAATATATGATTGTACACTGTTCATGTACTGCTGCATGGATGTTTTCATGCCCTCAGTCAGGGTTATTTTTGTCTTTTCTAAGGAGCGTGGGATTTTTTCCTTTCCTCTCCTTATTTCTGTTAGTGATGCAGTCTGTGCAATAGGGTTACCGTTTTTGGTCAAGCAGAGGCAGCAGCAGCAGCCACCTGGTTACTGCAATGAGGAGGCGGCTGACACGACAGCCGAGCTGAGAATGGGACAAGGAAGGGAACAGGAGGGAGGAGGAGAAAGGGAGGAGGTGGATCAGGCAGGGTAGAAGGAGGAGGACAGGGATGAGAGAAAAACAGACAGTTGGGAGGCAAACCCCACACTGTAGCAGTGTTTCAGGAGCAGAGCCTATAGCAGCACCTACGTCTCTCTCTCCCCCTTTCTCTCTTTTTCCTCCCTCTCTTACCCCCTCCTCTCTTTCTCTCTCCCTGTCTCTCTCGCTCTCTCTGTGGTATCTCAGCTGCTGCCCTGACTTAAAAGAGGACTAGCAGCTCCTGCTTCACAGGTGATTGATTCTCAGAGCCTTTTCTGGTGCGGATTTACTTGGATTCCAATGGTCATGGTCAAAGAAAAAGGTATGTCATTGTCACGGTCAGAGAGTGAAAGTCTATACGTCTCTGTTTATGACAGATCATTGTATACAGATGAGATTTCTCCT